TAATAATAATATTCTAAGATAATTAATAAATAATAAAATAATAAACTAATAATAAATTCGTTCTATAACAACATAAACAGAACTTTCAAATTGGTCTATTAGGCTACAACAATTACAAGATGATACGGCGTCAAATCGATCGATACTTAGCTATAAAACATTATTTTCAAGTAAAGCCTACAAACCCTTCTTGGTACAATTAATTATGAACAGTTATGAATTAAAGATCAGTTTCGAAAGACCACAGAATAAATGGCCAGTACCGATAAAGCTGAAAGGCATGTCAGTAAATAGTTAGTTAAATTCAAAGGAATTAAGTAATAAGTGGAAGCAATGTTTCAATAAGCACAAGATATTTTCAATTGAATAACTCCTTAATTATGATAATACAAATTGGACAATTTGGCCTTAAGTATATTATAATACAGGAAGAATTCCAAGAGACAGAGAATCAAGTTGGTTTAAAAAATTGAATCAAAAAGACATGAAAGAGTTGTTAGAGAATCATGAGTTGGTTAGCCCAAATACATTTATCTGGCAGAAAGATAAAGAAAAAAAACTTAACTGGATCATTATAGAAGATGAAGATATGGGCAAGGTATCTAGACAACATGGTGAGTTTAGAAAGGTGATGTATTGGGTAAAAGACGATGCTACAAATCAATTATCGAGATATAAAAAGTGTATTAAGCATGATACAATATACCGAAATATAAAATGCACTTTTAAGAAAGATGCAGAGAAGATATATCTGATTAAGGTAGATTTGAAAAAGATATGGCATGGTAGTATAGAAAAGTTTAAAAATAAATTAGAACATAAAAGGCAAATTTTGGGGGTAAGACCATTTTTGTCAAACGCACGTACACAATTCCAATATGAATTAGAATCAGTTTTTGGGGAGTCAGAGGTCTGGATACGAGAAGAAAGTGGGAATTTCATGAATAAAGTTAGGAATAGAAGCATGTTCCTGATGGTAGATATAATAATTGTTAGAAATAATATTAACAGAGAAATATCTGAACCAGTTGCGGTAATAAAGGAGGCAGATAACAGGGTAATTGCGAGGATAAAAAATGATCAATGAGTATCACCGAAAAATATCATGCTGACAGCAATAAACGTGATAGTGATGATTGTACCAAGCAAACAAAAATAAAGATAACATTGAATGCGAAGTTTTTGGATAATCTGGTGCGAAAACTATATCCCTTAAATTGTTTTGCAGCCAAATTTGCCTGCAAACTTTTTTAAATTTTAAAATATTTTAATAAAATGTT